CACCTGTAATCCCAGCACTTTGGGAGGCGGAGGTGAGAGCAGTACCTGAGCTCAGGTGTTCGTGACCAGCCTGGGCAACTTGGTGAGACTTTGCCTCTTCAATAAATAAAGAAAAAATTCACCGGGTATGGTGGCACATACCTGTGTTAGTTCCAGTTACTTTGAAGTCTGAGGCAGAATGATCACCTGAGTGCAGCAGGTCGAGGCTGCGGTGGCCATCAGTGTGCCACTGCACTCCAGCTTGGATGATAGATTGAGACTATAAAAAAAAAAAAAAAAAAAGTAATTTTAATAAATTGTATTGGCCAAAGTATGACATTAACACACAATAAACTATTAAGCGTGTACTGAAACATTTTTAAAAATAGGCCTGGTGTGGTGGCTAATACCTGTAATTCCACCCCTTTGGACCAAGGTGGGAGGATTGCTTGAGGCCAAGCATTCAAGAAGAAAGTCTTTACAAAAAGTCAAAAAAGGCAGGGTGCAGTGGCTTACGCCTATAATCCCAGCACTTTGGGAGGCCAAGGTGAGAGGATTACCTGAGTCCATGGGTTTGAGGCCAGCCCGAGCAACTTGGTGAGACCTACTCTCACAATAAATAAAAAAATTAGCCGGGCGTGGTGACACGTACCTGTAGTTCCAGCTACTTGGAAGGCTGAGGCAGAAAGACTGCCTGACCCCAGCAGTTCAAGGCTGCAGTGGCCGTGAGAGTGCCACTGTACTCCACCCTGGGAGACAGAGTGAGACTTGGATTCCAAAAAAAAAAGGTAAAAAAAAAATTAGCTGGACATGGTGGCACACACCTGTAGTCTCAGCTACATTTGGGAGGCTGAGGTAGGGGGAATCACCTGTGCCTAGGAGGTAGAGCCTGTGATGAGTCATGATCTGTGCCACTGCACTCCAACTTGGGCAATAGAGTAAGACCGTAACTCAAATAGACAGACAGATATATAGATAGATAATTTACAAAATACAAATGGGTGGTAGGAATTTGCAATTTGTTTTTTTTAACAATTAAACATTTTGAAGAAAATTTGTCAGCATTCTAAAATAGTTTCTTTTAGGTTCTGGGATCAAATTATTTCTTTTTCAGGTTTGTTTGTTTTTTTTTTGAGTTGGAGTTTCACTCTGTCTCCCAGGCTGGAGTGCATTGGTACGTTCCCAGCCATCACAGCCTCGACCTGCTGGGTTCAGGCAATTCTTCCACCTCAGCCCTCCAAGTAACTGGAACTACAGGTACGTGTCACCCTGCCGGCTAATTTTTTAATTTATTGCAGAGATGAGGTCTCACCAAGTTGCCCAGGCTGGTCTCGAACCCGTGGGCTCAGGCAATCCTCTCATCACAGCCTTCCACAGTGATGGGATTACAGCTTGAGCCACCGCACCCAGCCTTTTCAGGATTTTATAAACGTAATATAGCTGGGCTCGGTGGCTCGGCCTGTAATCCCGCGCTTTGGGAGGCTGAGGTGAGTGGATTGGGTTCGAGACCCACCTGGGCAACTTGGCGAGACCTCATCTCTACAATAAAAATTAAAATCAGCCAGGCATGGTAGCGTGTGCCTGTAATTCCAGTTACTCGGAAGGCTGAGGCGGAAGGATCGCGAGAGCCCGGCAGGTTGAGCTGTGGTGGCTAGGAGCGGCCACTGCACTCCAGTCTGGGCGACAGAGTGAGACTCTAACTCAAAAAAAAAACAACAAAAAAAAACCACGTAATATTAAATTTCATAATCTTGAGGAAAACCAATCATTACTAATTGATGAGCTACTTTCCATCATTCCTTTAATGTTTAGAAACATCCAATCATCTTACAATTATTTTTATTGCAAATTCATAGAACAATTGATTGTGATAAGTAGATATATCTTTAGATCTGTATGGATTAGTAGGGACTAATTTTAATTTCACAAGGATTGTTTTAATGGGAAGTCTAAATGACAAATTATACGTTCTTGAATAAAGTACTATGCAGTGCTTATGAATGCTAGATAAGTGTACTCATTGACATGGGAGAAAGTTCAAGGAGAAATATTAGAAAATAGGACGGGGGAGGGGGATGGGATTAACAGTAGCAAATATCTGTCTGGGGAAGGGGAAACACCTCTTATCAACAGGGTGCCTGAATGAAACGTAATTGTACACCTAACTCTTAACTGTACCCCACAAAACCATAATAAAAAATATTGATTTAATAAAAAAAAAGAAAATAGGACATATAACACCAGTTTTGTAGTCACATAAGCACAGGGAAGGACTAAAGAAAATGCAACTTTAAATAGCTATCTATTTAAATAGTTGTCTAAGTAAGTGAATTATAAGTGTTTTTAGCTTGTCTGCATTCCCTTGCTTTTTCTCCAATGATTATGAATTGCTCCTACTTCAATTATATAAACACATTTCTCATCACGGCACCTGCCCTCCCCACCCACATAACACACATTTGCACACTTTCCATTCACTGCCACAACAAATCATAACTTCCCTCCAGCCTCCATGCTGATCATAAACCTAGGTACTAAGCACCAGATCTGTACCTTAAATCCCGATTAACCCACATTTGATGCACGTCAATTTCAACCTCTGAGACGCCATAGTATGCTGGGTTCTTTACTGTTTTTTTCTAATCAACCAAGTAGACTGAATAGTTAGCACATTATTCAGAAGTTATCTTCCTTTTACTTTTGGGATGTTTTACATTGGTTAATCGGGTCAGCCATTCTCATAGCTTGTTCCTCATTGTTCAGAACTAGCTGTCAATTCTAAGAGTAAGAGATAAACTTTCTGTAAGTTCTGAACCCAAAAATATGCCTCAAAGTGGCTTTAAAAAAAAAAAAGTAGTTGTTTTCCTTTGACATTTGACAAGTACATCCAGTTGATACTTGTTTTGTCATAAAAAGAAAGTTCCTTGGGTGGGGGGGAAACTGCAACCTTAGGGATAGCAAACATCAAAGTAGTTGGTCATATGTAACAAGGCAGGCAGGATTTTAAAAAACTTTCCATTCCGATTTTCCATTTTTTTTTTAGGTTTTCATCTATAAGCCAAAATCCCTTACCCATTATACTTTCGGGTGAAACAAATCATTTAATTATTACCAATGAGCTTAGAACAATTAAGAAAAATCTGATTTGTAAACATTTATCACCACTCCCAGGGGTGGGAAGGTTGGGCAGTACAACCACACTGATAGATGAGCCTTAGGGTTCCAATTCTTTAGGTTTTCTGCCCCCAGGTCCTTACCTTGTGTTGTATTATGTTCCTTTCAACTGTTACAAATGGATAAGTGCCAAATTCTAGTACCAAAAAAAAAAAAGGGTGGAGGGGAGAGGAAACGTTTCAGTGTTTTAAATTTACATATCTCAATAAACTCACCTTTCTACTTATGCTTAGAAATTAAAGGTAGCTGGGCTCGGTGGCTCAGCCTGTAATCCCGCACCTTGGGAGGCTGAGGTGAGTGGATTGCCTGAGCCCGCGGGTTCGAGACCCGCCTGGGCAATTTGGTGAGACCTCATCTCTACAATAAATAAAAAAAAATTAGCCGAGTGTGGTAGCGCATGCCTGTAGTTCCAGCTACTTGGAAGGCTGAGGTGGAAGGATTACCGGAGCCCAGCAGGTGGAGGCTGCAGTGGCCGGGAGCAGCCACTGCACTCCAGTCTGGGCAACAGAGTGAGACTCAACTCAAAAAAAAAAACCAAAAAAAAAACCTAAAGGCAAATCTGTTAATCAGGTCCAGGCGCCACAGTGTAAGACTCTCAATGACTTCAAGTCATTCCTATTTCCCCAGGCTGTCACAGCTCACTGTGAGGTCTCACCCTTTTCATCGTCCTATTCTGTCACCTCACTCTTCCCTATAAACCACTCAATAGTTCTTGCACAGATCTGTGATCCTTTTCTAAAGCCTTCTTGCCTACTAATCAGTCCACAGGCAACACATGTCAAATATAGATGCCTGATTTGTTACAAGGTCACCTCTTCAGTAATAATATTGGCAAGGTCTTTCCACTGGCCCAGGTATGACACTTGCCAAATCACCATTTGTCCTACACCACTTCTGAAGACTGCAGGGCAAAAGGACAATACAATGTATATGAAAGCCAACTGCAAAATAAGCAAACATACGCCATATTAGACCTAGTTGTTTTCTCTTAGGTTTACCCCATATGAGGCCAGGTATGGTGGCTCTTCCCTATAATCCTAACACTTTGGGAGACTGAAGTGGGAGGACTGTTTGAGTCCTGGAGTTCAAGAACAGCATGGGCAACATAGTTTAAGACTTCATATCTCTGCAAAAAAAAAAATTAAAAAAAAACTAGCTGGGCACGGTTACTAGCAGCCTGTAGTCCGAGCTACTTGGGAAGTTGAGGTGGGAGGACTCCCTGAGCCAAGGCGAAGGCAGTGGTGAACCGTGACCATGTCACTGTGCCACAGGCTGGACAAGAGTGAAACCCCAACTCAAAAAGAAAAAAAAGTATAGCTCCTGTGAAGAGCTAAAATTATTTTATTCCAAAGGACACTGAGCTCCTTCACTATTACACCAATATAGTTGCACAAATCACAAAAGACACAGCAGGTATTAGTAATATGTCACAATGAAATCAACCATATACAAGGTATTAGTCCTGTGAAGACTAAGATACTGTATTTTTCCTGTACCTTTCCTATGTTTAGACACACACTTACCATTGTGTTACACATGAATTTGGTATTTCTATAGTAGCATGCTGTACAAGTGCTTGTACCATAGGAGCAATAGGCTATACACCATACATTCTATGTGTAATAGACCATACCACCAAAATCTGTGTTAAGTGCATTCTATTATGGTCACACAACAAAATCACCCACAGATGAGTTTCTCAGAATGTATGCCAGTCATTGAGCAAAACATGATTGTAATTATAAAAAAATTAAACATTTCACTCTTTAAAATTTTTTTTTTAGAAAACATAAGATCAAAAGTAGAAACTAAAGATTAAGACAGAACTTAATCCATGTGCTCTGAAAGTCTTTCATAATTGAGTTTATTGGTTGTGTTGAGGATCAGTACACAGACATTTCAATTTGTACACAATTCTTAACATACGTACCGAAAATCGAAAAAGCCATGTATTGTTATTTTTAAAAAGTTATTCCAGTGACTTTCCAGCTTAAAATTTGGAGGCAAATTTTCCTTAAGAGAATATCAAGTACCAGTATCTTCAAATGTTGATAAGCTGTTACACACATCCCACCAATTCACAATTTATCATATACACAACATACTCAATTTTTCAATCTTTCACAACACATTAACAAAGTTATCAGGAAAACAAGACTACCACGACCAAAGATGTTACAGAGTGCACACAATTCTGACAGGGAGAGCCACGATCAAGGAGTGGTTTTCTTTAGGAAACAATTCTACTAAAAAACAACATGGGAATAGAAGTAATTTTAAATGTTCAAGACATTAAATGCAGGACTGTGATCCATATTGCCACTTAGTATACTTTGCATTATAGGATATAAAAACTAACCCCCATCTATGGAATGTTAAGCTGATACTGGAGACAGTCAAAGCCTCCTGTAATTTAATATCCCTCACTATTTTCTGGTTGTACCAAAAAATAAACAACCAGCGAATGATTTCACCTCTTAAAAAAAAGCATTTACACTTAAAAAATGGGATGAGGTGGGATTCCCTCCTTCTTAAAAATGTTTCTAGAGCTACTAAAAAACTCGCATTTACAAAATAGTTGATAAAAATATTCCTCTGGATTGTACAAGAAGGGAGACAGGGACCACTGATAAGACATGGGATATGACATTATTCAGGCTTGGCTTCTTTCTCTCCTGCTTCATCAGAGGTTGGATTCTGCAAATCAAAGAAAAATTGATCAAACATTTGTGTCATTGCTATCATCTTTCAGATCTTAGACATCTAACACACATCATAGGTTTTATTCATACATAACTATTTGAACAGTATATCCTTATTTGTAGATTTTGTATTTGCAAATTCACTTGCTCTTGTTAAAACATGTTTGTAACCCTCAAAGCAGCATCCGTGGCACTTGCAGTCATGTGTGTATACTGAGGTGCAAAACATGTGAGCTATCCCACACGTACATTTTCAGCTGAGCTTATTCTGTCTTCTTGCTTCAACTCTAACACTGCAAACAAGTGTCTATTTAGTGTCACATTATTTCATCTTTGCCCTTTTTTGATGACTTTACTATTTAAAATGGCCTCAAGCATCAACTCCTGTCTAGGGTTGTTAAGGTGCAAAGCTGTGATGTGTTGGATAGCTTTGCTCAGGCATGAGTTACAGTGCTGTTAGCTGTGAGTTCAATGTTAATTTAACAACATGTATTTTAAAAGGTTATCTCTAAAGAGAAACAGACATATAACAAAGTCCTGTACTGATCAGCTGATGACAATGTTGTGACCAGAGGGGTCTGTCAGAATCTAACCCTATATTTCAATGGTTTGGTATGCAATGGTTTGGTATTTGTGGCAACCTTAGAGAATGTTAATTATGAATAATAATGAATTGTAACTTGATAATGTGGAGGTCAAGTCCTTCCTTTATAATTGGTAGTAGATTAATAATATGGTCTTAGTATCACACTATATTTGAAGTTTGGTTAGAACACAGAAATAGATGTTTCAAGGCTAAGACAAACTGTAACTATTAAAGTTTAAAATTAATACCCTAAATAACTTGTCTTTTCTAGGCTAGCAAATCTAACCAAAAAAGTAAAGGCTTGGAAAAAAATCAAAAGGCCTGAATTAATGCAAGGGTATCATGGTGTTATACAACCAATCAATCAAAACCAGTCGAAGTTTCTTTGTTTCTTCTCTACTTTCAATGCTTCACTTGAGCCTTCCCCCCAAAAGCTTCTTTTTCATAGCTTGAATGAATAAAGATCCATGACACCAATCTTTTTATCTGCTTGATCTTTGTTATCATTTAGTCCTGGATAAGTGGTAACTCTTAAGAAAAACATAACACTTTATTAGGGAAAAAGAAGGAAAAATATTCCAGGCACAATGCAAATAAGAGAAATAGATTTTAAAAACATTTCAAAAGTGATATCCAAAATATAGATTCAAATATTTTGAAATTGAGTGCATTAAAATTTCTTGTTCACTCACTTAAAAAAGTCATTTACACATATACTTTTAAATTAGATCTAATTCTTAAAAATATGTCCATTCACTTTTGAATACTGTCCAGAGCTTTGTTCACTATTGTAACAAGTAAAGACTGTCTTTCCTGTAACCTAAAAATACACAGTTTAGTATCTACTGTTCAGTCAAAATCAGGAACACACACACACACATTTCTGACCTCCTCGGTTTTAGTTTCTCCATTTTCTGCAGGTAACTCTTCTTTAGTTTCTTGGTTAGCCACTTCAGCCTGCTTTCCCTTCGCTCCCCTTTTCCCTTTTGCTTGCACTTTTTTGTCTGAAGATTTATCCTATGACAGAATACGCATATGTTTTAAGTATAAGCTTTGCCCGGACTTACATTTTCTGACTTGGTATAGAATGTACTCATTATGGTTGCCATGTTAATGTTATATTGCACATCCACGCCAGCCTGAGGCACCAGGTACATTTTTTTACATGAGACAACTCAAGGTCCACCCCTAGTAATCAAGAAAACACTGTATGCTAAGGAGATTGTAATAGTACTTGCATGTCAAGCCTCATTAGACACACAATGATAAACCCTAAACCCTGAGCTACGTATGCATCACCACCGTCACCATAACTGTTGCCATCATTCGCTATTCTCTACAGTTCCATGCAACAGAACAAATGAGGTGGAAGCTGGAGGAATCTCTTCCACCATATCCTTGCTCACACCCAAATTTAAGTATGAACAATAATCAAACCCGTCAATCAGTATTGACAAGACTTTGCTATCACAGTAAGAAGCTTCATCTGAAACAAGCACCAAATTGTACCATCAGGGTGACTACCCTGTTAATCCCCTCATACCATACAATGAGTAGCTAAAAGGATCATTTTGAATTTATTTTCCTTTAGGTGTTTTAAGAATCTGAAAAGCACAGGTATTAGAGTAAGGCAATGTAACGTGACACATTAAGTCCCAAACTAAGTCATTTAAAAGAAATATAAAACAATACTTTTGATACTATCCATTATGGTAAGAAGACCTTAACAAAACTTAACATTTATTCTCTGTAAATAAAGAATGCAGCTACAACTGAATAAGTTGGACCACCAGCAGGTGGTATGAAAGACCCTGATTGGTACTTTAGTTGAAGGATCATAAAGTAGGTAGCTCTCATAACTTCAAAGCTAAGACGGGGGGAAAAAAATCACAACAAAGTACTCTGTATCAACAGCTGCATTCATATATAAAGACAGCTCAATGACTTCTAATATACCAATATCTTTTGGATTAATAACAAGTTGTATAAACAAATATATTTGAGACAACACGGTTACACACATTGCTACCATGCAATGTCACAATTGCTTCTGAACTTACCCACTGGCCTCTCCCCAAGAGGAAGAAGGATTACATCTGATGCCCCAAATCCACTAGGGGGTAAAACTTTGAACTAATTTCACTTCAAAAATCATTTTATAGTAGATTAAGATGGACAAAGGCAAATAAGAAAAAAATTTAACAGGTAAAGAGGCAGGTATTTCAGTCAACTAGTTTGTGTAAAAAAAAAAAAAAAAAGAAGCTGGGCTTGGTGGCTCAGCCTGTAATCCGGTGCTTTGGGAGGCTGAAGTGAGTGAATTGCCTGAGCCTGTGGGTTCGAGACCGGCCTGGGCAACTTGGCGAGACCTCATCTCTACAATAAATCGAAAATTACTCGGGTGTGGTAGCACACGCCTGTAGTTCCAGTTACTTGGAAGGCTGAGGCGGAAGGAAGGATTGCCGAAGCCAAGCAGGTCGTGGCTGGGAGTGGCCACTGCCCTCGTCTGGGTGACAGCGTGAGACTCCCACTCAAAAAAAAAAAAAAAAAAAAAAAGAATAAAAAAGTCAGGTTAATATACTGCTCACTCCAACATTTTGCTACAAGATTGGCTAACGTTTTAGGTATGCACTGAAGTCTCCACCAAACTCTTTGTACAGAAACGACTGCATTACCTTCTGGTTTGGGAAATTCTAAGTTACCATACCAACACCTTCTCCGAACCTTTCTTTTTGAAAGGATCACAAACACTGAACCTTTTATTGAAGAAATCTTTTAAGAAAACATTTATATAAAAGGAAAAATAACCTTCTTTGTTTTATACCTTTAACAAGGACAAATTTAAGAGTTATTCAAGAGTTCATCAATGTCAAGAATGTTAATCTTGCCTCTTCTGATGATTATGCAGGACTATACTTCCACCTACATTTTAAGGAAAGAGGTGACGACAAACAGGATTTTTTTTTTTTGAGGCCATTTCAATTAGCAAATCTCAATAACCGGTGAAAAACATATGGTGCTCTACAGACAGCGGCTTCAAAACTATACCCAAATATAAAGTTTATAAATGTTTTACATTATCTGAGTAATGCATTCGTGAACTTATTCTGACCATTTTTGTGTAACTGTAAATGACACACTGTGAGAATGCCGACAGCAACGTTCTCAGAGAACACAACTCTCTACTGACGCCCAGCCCCTACGTCTAAAGGTAAGGTCCCCTCTCTCTTGGCTTGGGAACTTTACGTACCAAAACCTACACGTTCCCTTTCTCCCGGCCTCACTCCACCTCGGCTGCTTCATCGTCATAAGAGGAAGTACAAGCACGCCACGAAAGGACAAGGGCCAGCCATCATGTACACGACCCAAAGAACACACTTCCCCTGTGGGCTTAAGTTACTATTTCTGCTATTTTTTGCCGTCTGAAGTTTCCTAGCTTCTGCAGCAGCGTTCGTGTGACACGTTACACTGCATAGCCAGATGGATATAGCCATTCCTTTTTATCCTTCCAGAAGAAACACTTTTTGCTGGAGTTATTCACCCGTAAACAAGATCCACACAAGTAAACAGATAAAAAGTCACGTACTGAGCAGCACGGCAGCCTCAGGCCCCAGCTCACCTTGGGGAAGTTTTGAAACTTACCTTTCCCGCCGCCTTTTTTGGCTTTGCTTCCACTTTTGCAGGAGCAGGTTTCTGAAAGGCGAAAGTAGCTACACTAAGCGTTCTCACCCCAGGGAACACCAGGTACAACCCCAGGGAGCACCAACGGGTTTGGGGCTCGCCCTACTTACAGCCGACAACCGCGCCGATCTCCTCTTGGGCTTCGAGAGAGAACAGGGAAAATCAGCAAGAAAGCAGCGACTCCGAGCGGTTCGCGCACCCCCACCCCCCCGGCAGGGCCCCCGGCGCTCACCTCCTCCTTCGCCGCCCCCTCGGCGGAGCTGACCTGCGGGGAGAAGCCACGCGCGGATGCGCTCAGTCCGCGAACAAAAGTCGCCCCGCGCCCCGCGCC